GGCTCTATTTTATCAAAGGAAGCTACTGGCTAAGTTCTGAAAATGCTTGCTGGGGTGTGTGGGGGGGAGGGGGATATAAATTGATTGATTGATTGATTGATTGAATGAATGAATGAATTAATAAATAAATATATAACATGTGGGTCTGCATTATTACCACTTTGAAAACAAATGACTATTTGAAGAAATATGCCAAGGGTTGCGAACAAGATGGTGGTAATTTTTTTTTTTTTTAGAAGGAAATGAAATAAAGGATAATAACATGAATATATCCTTCCCTACCAATCTCGCCACCCCCAATCTATTTCTGAACAGACACAAATATCTTAACATGCAGCATATGAGTAATTCTCCTATGCAACTGAGTTTAGGAAGAAGATCAGATACCAAAGATCTGCCTTGAACCATAAGGAAATGAGAGCAGTTCCTAATTAATGTGGTAGACAGTCCTGGCTTTGCCATCTTCCAATTTTGGCAGAAAGATGTCATCTGCTTTGTCTTTCTTCCCAAAGGTGCCAAGGAAGCAAAGTGCTAATTCAGTCACATCTTGCTTGTAAGAGCAGCAAAATGGCCTGCTCTTCACATCCTCCTCCAAAACAATTACCTACTCCACATTTATATGACCACTGTGTTTGCCTTTGGGTCACCCCCAAGTTATAATTGTACCAATACAATGTAGTGGGTGTTACTAGACTAGGCATGTCTGGGCTCACGTCTTCACTCAGCCATGATGCTCAGAGGGCCAGTTGCTTTCTGTCTGCCTAGTCAACCTCACAGGTTTGTGGTGAGGTAAAATGGGATTATTCCATATACAGGACCCAGACCTCCCTGGGTATTCAAACGTTTGCACACCACTGTACTTTTGAGTGCCTTTTACTGTTGCCTCAACCGAGCAGAACTTTGTGCAAACTCTCCAGTATGTTGGAGGACTACATAGTCAAGCTGGGAAAGAATAAATGAATAAACTCATGGCTTGTATCCAGTATTGTCCCTTCTGCTCCCAGAGGACTCTTTGACCCAGAAGAAGCTTCCATGAATGGGAGGAGGAAGAGGGCAATGTGGCTGGTTCTCCATTCCTTCTGCAGCCATTTGCACTTCCATCTGCTCCAGAGAGTCAGGGTATCCCCTGGAACTGCATAAAAGGTGGCATGGAGGGTTGTAACCCAAATGCCTATGATGCCAAGTAAGATGGGGCAGGAATGCATGCTGACTTCCTCAATAAAACTGTTGGAATTTCCCAAACCAAGACTCCAAGTCTTTTGTCTGAGGATGGGAGCCAGGACAAGAAAGGGGGAATTTTTATGAAAAATGCCTCCATCCTGCTTTCATTCAGTTGGACCAATGGGCCTTCAGTGAATGGAAGGGCAGGATATAGCCCCATCTCTTTGCCATAGAAGGAGGCATAAGGGGGGGGAGGGGAGATAATTATTTTTAGATATAAAAAATGGTGTATGTCTCACATAAAAGAAAAGGAGCCCTCAGGAACCAAGAAAGGACTTGTCCACAGAACCCCAGTGAAAGTAACACAGAGAAAAAAAACAAAACAATAGTTGTGTCAAAAGCTGAAGATATATCATGGAAAAGAAGTACAGAAAATTGGCCACACAATTTAGTAAGTGAGAGATAATTGAAAATGTGAGTAAGTGCAGATTCAGCGGAATGACAAAAAAACCCCCACCCACATTGAAAATGGGCTATGAAGAGCAAAATAAAATTAACATATCAAGTAAGAAGTACTTGCATTCAAGTACTTGCAGATTGAAAGGTACAAGAGAATTAGGGCAATAATTACAGAAGGAAAGAAGATAAAGAAATAATGAGAGAAACAAAAGGTGACTTTCAGGGTGTTGGTTTTTTTAAAAAGTACTGGAAGAAAGTTGGAGATTACCATATGCAACATTAAAGGAAGAATTGTAGCAAAATATATACTCCATTTAAAAAAATAATTAAAAAATTATGATCTAGCACTATCTGTGCTGCAAGACCTGGCCTTGCTAGATTGGGAACTGTCCATAGCTAATAACAGTACAATATTCAAAATAGACCAAAGAGTATCTATTTAAAAGGCCCTGCTAAAAACAACAGCCCCAGCCAAGGAATCCCTCACTTACATCTTCAAATGGCCAAACGTGATTGCTCATATTATTTCCGTAAAAAAATCAAAACCATGAGTACTTCATAGTAAAGCATCATCTGTAAATTTTATACCAGCTTTTCTATTTAACAACCACCTGATCAAGTTAGAACTTGATGCTTTTAACGGCATAAACATTAGTGAATGGGGATGAGAGTCCAGCCAAAGAATGTTGGCCAGTCACCAAGAGTATCGAACACTAGCTTTTTTAATAGTACAAAATTACCAAGGCATCAAATTCTGAAAACAAGTAATACTCTTCTAGGCTGCATCAACAGAGAAGCACAGTGTCCAGATCAAAGGATGTCATAATCCTGCTCTATTCTGCCTTGATCAGACCCCACCTGGAGTCCTGTGTCCAGTTCTGGGTACCACAATTTAAGAATACCTTGACAAGCTGGAACATGTGCAGAGGAGGGCAACCAAGATGATCAAGAGTCTGGAAACAAAGCCTTATGAGGAATGGCTGAGGGAGTTGAATATGTTTAGCCTGAATAAGAGGAGGCTGATAGGGTAGCCATCTTCAAATATCTAAAGGGATGTCACAGGGGAAGATGGAGCATGCTTGTTTTCTCCTGCTCCAGAGGGTAGGATCCAAACTAATGGCTTCAAATTACAAGGAAAGAGATTCCAACTAAACATCTGGAGTTTGGGAGGGAGTGGAATGGGCTCCCTCAAAAGGTAGTGGATGCTCCTTCATTGTAGGTTTTTAAGCAGAGATTGGATGGCCATCTCTCAAAGATACTTTAGTTGAGCTTCCTGCATTGCAGGGGGTTGGACTAGATGATACTTGAGGTGCCTTCCAACTCTACTGTTCTGTGATTCTGTGTCTTTGAACTACAGTACTTCAAATTTTGAGGGGCATGATATAGCAGCATGGGAACTAGCTAATTCTGTAGTGTGGGAAACAGCTCGCAGAAAGCTGAGTAAGTAAGCCACCCAGAGTGGCTGAGGAGACTCAGCCAAATGGGCGGGGTATAAATTATAAATTACTACTACTACTACTACTACTACTACTACTACTATGTATGATATAAATGGGGGGGATTTGTAACTAATGGAACAGCTTGTGTTCTTGGTTGAAAAACATGAAGCAAAGACTTCGTTTAGGAGAATTACTTCGTAATTTAAACTTCTGAGGGCTTTATGCCTGTATTACATGTAGAGCAAATTTTCATCATAGTTGTTAGAGATATGGATCTTGGTGGTAAACCCGGGACTGGTCTGTACCACTTCTAGCATACAGAAAGCCTGCAACACATAGAAAACTGTTATGGAAAGGGACTGTAAAAGTAAAGGGACCCCTGACCATTAGGTCCAGTTGCGAATGACTCTGGGGTTGCAGTGCTCATCTCGCTCTATAGGCCGAGGGAGCTGGCGTACAGCTTCTAGGTCATGTGGCAAGCATGACTAAGCCGCTTCTGGTGAACCAGAGCAGTGCACGGAAGCACCATTTACCGTCCCGCCAGAGCGGTACCTATTTATCTACCTGCACTTTGACGTGCTTTCAAACTGCTAGGTTTGCAGGAGCAGGGACCGAGCAACGGGAGCTCACCCCGTCGCGGGGATTCAAACCGCCGACCTTCTGATCGGCAAGCCCTAAGCTCTGTGGTTTAACCCACAGCACCACCAAGATATGGGTCTTGGTGCTAAACCCGGGACTGGTCTGTACCACTTCTAGCAAACAGAAAGCCTGCAGCACACAGAAAACTGTTATGGAAAGGGACTGTAGCAGAGCCTTTTCCCTGACCTCTAATTTTTCTACATGGAAGTATTTTAAATATATATATGTTCAGTCTTTGATATAGGTTACATATGGCCCTTTAGTGCAACAGAAGTGGGGCAATAGCTTTTAAGGAGATTACAAAATGGCTACATTAAAAAAAACAAAAAACCTGAGCAAGAGGACAACTTTTTGACTTTGGAATTTTGGCTTCCAAGCAGTCGGCAGAAAAATAATGTCTCAAAATCACACATAGCTGTCTGCAAGCAAGACTTATTCTTATTCATTGAATTTATATACTGTCCTATACCCGGAGGTCTCAGGGCGGTTCACATACATTTTTAACCAAAAAAATTATAATCAACCGGACCACACCCAGCATAAAAAGCCCTTCTATCTTTAATAGAATCTTTTGCACTGAAATTAACAAATCTATTCTACATTTTAGGCACATGGGAAATTAAACCTAGTTTCCTTAGCCTTGTGCACAAACTAGCGCAAGACAGAAAAAAGGCATACAGATAATACTTCCTCTTTAAGGTGCCATTTAACAAAAGTGTTCAAGGATAACATCTTACCCTTTTTTAATATTTGAACTCTTCACACTGCTCATGAAACTGAGAGCAGGATGTGCCCCTAAATATTGGTATACAGTATTCTGGGATGGGAAGTGAGGAGAATTATTATTACTCGCTATCACCATCACCACTTACATAGAGTTGTTATAAGATTTTGCAGCTCTTCGCTTACTGTTCCTTAAAACCCTGTGAGATACAGGTGAGGCTGCAGCAAAGTGGCCACAACTGCACGTTGTGCTAATGTCTGGTTTTAGTGTGATGTGAACAAGAAGCACATCACATAAGGAGCCGTTGTTAATCTCGGGTCTGTGTGCTTCTCCCTCCCCTCTGGCCAAGAGGATGAAGCTGGGAGAGCATGCCCACTCCAGCTCATGCACGTCTGTCTGAGCTATCATTTAGTGTGACACGCAACATGGCCAATGACTTGACCAGTTTAAATTGGTGTCTCCCCACCTCACCTTCCACAGAAGGTGTCCAACCTGCACATTAGACTCTCCACCTGTTCAGGCACACATGCTATATTAAACTTGCGCTTAGATTTGGCATTATCTGGAGGTGCAAATATGAAATATTATTTCAGTTGGTTAGAGAATGGTGCTCCTAATGCCACGGTTGCAAGTTCCATCCTTGTATGGGGCAATTGCATATTCCTGCATTGCAAGGGGGGGGGGTTGTACCAGATGATCCTCAGGGTCCTTTCCAACTCTACCATATGACTCTTTCTAGCACAGGTGGGCCTTTGATTAGGCAGTATACGGCAGCTACCTAAGGCATCCTAAATTTTGAGCACCAATGAAGTGTAGCAGAATTAGAGACAAGACAGCGCTGATCCCTGGGGCACAACCAACCAGGAAGTTCTCTGATATGGCAGGACCACTGAGATGAATGGGAGATGTTTCCATTCATTTCACAGAGACTTGGATAATATAGTTTCCTAGAGGAATGTACCCTAGGACAACTAGCAGACAAGAAAAAAATCACTTGGCTTTTCTGTTTTGGATACCCCAGTCTCTTGAACTGGCCCACAATGCCTTGAAATGCAGCCAAAAGACAAGCCCACATGGATCTTACTACTTTAATCCGATGCCAAATAATATTTTATTCCCACCCCCAATTTCCTCCTACCAGTCACCCACACAAGGGCTGGCACCACCCCCAAGCCTCCTCCTCTTCCTCTCCCCCACTGCTCCTGCCACCCCTCCCTCTCTCCTCAGTCATCTCCGCTGAATAAATGCTGCTAGCACTGCCATCCCCACCTCTCCTCCTGGCCCATCATCCTCTGCTTTTGGTTTGTCGCGTTACTAGTGGCAATAGTTTCCCCTCCAGCCTCCCTCATTCTGGGTGAGACAGCTGAGAGAGCGCCTTGGATGGACCCCCTTGGCCTTTCCCCAGTGAGTCAGGGAGGAGGAGGAGAGCTCTGCAGGAGCCTTGCCAGGTGGGTTGGTGGTGGTGGTGGCAGCAGAGCCTGTCGGCTGTGAGGCGAGCAACGAGGGGGACCAGGGCTACCAATTTGTCACAGCCACTTCACAGGTATTGGCTTTCCCCATGAATGTGCTGGCCTTGTCCCCACCCTTCCGTACATACATACTGTTCAGTCAACTCACATCCCTAGAGAGTTGCTGTCTCAGTTATGCTTGTACACAGAGATGGGTTGAGTATAGGAAAGCGGGGAGGTTAAAATGCATTCAAAAAGGCTGGGCACGTTCCAGCCCCATTTCAACAGGGTCTTACTCAAATCAGGGTTCCTTCCTGCCCATCACCCCCTTTCTCCCTTGCCTTATCACATGCCAGACTTCCATTTAAATGATGGCACTTGTTGTTTACAAAGAAAGGGAAGATTTGCAAGCTCCCTCTCCCCCGACCAGTTACATGCCCTGTAGGTTATTTTCCGCTGCAGATTATGAGGATTGTGGTCATCTGAGAAGTCACCTCACAGTGTCTCTCCTGCCATCTTTGTAACTCGTCTTTGGGTTACAAAGTGGTGAGAGGGAACTGTTAACATTGTCTTCCTTATTGATACTTCACAGTTCCACCCTCACCCAAATTCATACATCTGGTTAAACTCTGGTTACTAAAATGGATTAGAATGCTCTCCCCTTCACCCGTTGGCATATATAAATCTTAATGATAACATGGCACTTGCATCGCCCTTGTGAGACCTAGCTGCACCCAGGCTCCACCCACCAACCTACAAGGCCTTGCCCCTTGGGCTCCTCCCCCTGGGTGTATGCAGCAGTATCCCTATTCTCATCTGTCAAATGTTGCAGAAGATGACATTTTGTGGGGACCATTCAGAGACAGGCAATGGAGACAGGGGTATTACATAACACAGGCCTGATTCACTGACTCTTTTGTACACCTGAACTGGGGAGGTGGGAATAAGCAACACTTTTTCCTAAAGCACTTAACCGAAGTCTCACTGGTTTCAACTTTACTAGATTATCTGAAAAGAGTTAGGTGGTCTGGTGGCATTTTCAGAGCCAACCTGGGTGGGTATTGTATTTTAAGAAGAAGAAGAAGAAGAAGAAGAAGAAGAAGAAGAAGAAGAAGAAGAAGAAGAAGAGGAGGAGGAGGAGGAGGAGGAGGAGGAAGAGGAAGACGACAGACTTAAAATACAAAGGGGGTGAAACTGCTTCCTAAGACTGCAGTCCTAATATTAGATGGGAATCATGTCTGTCTGGTGCTGTTATTAACAGGCTGTGTTCAGTTCTGCAAACTGAAACCATCACATGGCTAAATCTCTGTTGCCTCAATTGCCCAGGGATTCTAACCATCACCAGTGTTTTAATATGACTGGAAGACTCCCAGAGGGTTTTTTCTAATACGGTTCAGGTAAAGGGTTAGCCTTTGAGCATCAGCATTGCTGGTGGGTCTATCTGCAGTGACTCACAATTCACAGAGAAAAAAGGGGGGGTTGCTAATTAAAAAGAAACTAAACCACCACCTTAATGAACAGAGAGATGAGACATGGATTCCGTGCTGCACAAAGGAAGGTCAGAATGGTTGTTGCTACACTCAATATGCACCCTGGTTGGATCTGCAAATGCACCAAAGTTAACCCCCATGTTCTTTCATTCTCTCTCTCTCTCTCTCTCTCTCTCTCTCTCTCTCTCTCTCTCATTCACTTCTTAAATAAATTCAGCATGTCTGTAGCATACACCAAGAGAAAATAAATATTGCCCAAAGGGCAGGTTCACTACTCTGAAATCTTTCTCCCATAACACAATCCTGAAAGAAAATCCATGGCATTTATGATGACTGCAATTTTTTTTGGCCATGTCCCACCCTGGTTGCTAGGAGATGTCCCTTCTAAGACATCATGCTGTATAAACAATAAAGCATTTCTGTCGACATAGCAATTGTCTAAACCACTGAATCAAGAGGCACTTATTGGCATGGTCACCCCCTGCCTCCTCCACTTCTATATTCTGCTCATATGACAACATGAATAATCACAAAGGCACCACACACTTGCTATTGTTAAACCCAAGCCTACTTGAAAGAAAATACCCAGCTCCCTTGTAGGAAAGTTAATGGGAGGCTATGAATTTCAACTCTGACTCCAAAAACGCACGCACGCACACACAGAGAGAAAGACGTATGTTGAGGGGTGACCCTTTTTGAAGACTGCATTCCTGCGAGTGTTTGGGGCGGGACGGAAAGAGACCCTGGTTTCATTTGTAAAGCATAAAATAAAAGTTTGGGGGTGGGGATCATGAACATCTAAATCATCCTTGCTTTTCAAGTGGAAAAGCCAGGAAACCAACCCTTCGGGCTGCATTTTGTTCCCCTAGTTTCATCTATGCAGAAAAGGAGACAAGAGCAGTAATTTAACAGAAAGCCTCTCATGCCCCTTTAAATGGGAGAAATACCCATAAACCTACATGCTGCAGTACACACTCTGCTGCAGCCATCTATATACAGCCTTCTAACGGTCTTACTGTATCAGAAGGCTCCTTAGTGCCTTTTCTCTCTCATTACACTCAGCACTGCTTTTTGCAGTGAAAAGAGAAGGGGGTGGGGAGGAAGAAAGCTGAGGAAATGAGAAGCTGCCACCCAAGCCACAGAGGCGCATATGTACAGAAGGAATTTACAATGTGTCCTTTAAGGAAACACATGCATCAGTGCTCAGAGCCCATTAGATTATGTGCCCCTTAGGGAATATCACAAAGGGACATGGAAATGCAACATAACCTCATTCCTGTGTTCAGACTATAGGCATCTGAGCTGCTTCTGTTTCTTTTCCTTAAAGAATATTCACAGCTATTAAGCACCAAGAAACCACCACAGGGCCCTTTCCTGGTGCGTAAGGTGTCCTCTTAAAGGGCAAGCCCACACAGCATCTTCATTTAGGGTTCTGCTCTTATTTTCCACTATTGTGTTTCATGTCTTATGTTGGGCGAAGCCAGCTGGCTTCAGGCAAAATTCAGCAAGGGCGAGTACACACTAGATTGGCATGCCCTGGACTCAGTTTACCCCAATTACCTCTGCATCCAGGGTAATTACAACACAACTGGGGGAGGGGATGTTGGAACAGGGCTCAGTAATCTCACGCCAATATTTCAACCTAACAAAAGAAAGTTTATAACAACAGTTGATTTAGGCGTTATTTCCCCATAAAATAGGCCATCAAGATAAAAAACACATACTGCAGCAGTACATTCAGTGACTTCTGTTGAAAAACTAGGATTATTTCAAAGGCGAACATGTGAGAGTCCCAGCAGAATTTCTGCACAGATTTCTTACCAACAGATCACAAACCAACTATTTATCCTCACGTGAGAACTACGCAGATGCTAATTCTTTAACCTGCAAATCTGCCATTTCTTAAACTGACTTCCATTATACTGAAATAAAACAAGCTCACATCTCAAGACAATGTGATAATCTGCCGGGGGGGTGGGGTGGAGAGAATGCACACCACCTGCGCTGGTTACTGCAACAAATCTAGAATCTCTGACTTTAAAAAAGAAACATTTGCCTTTCAAAGCGACCCCCCACCCCCACCCACCGCAAGTTTTGGCTTGCAATGACATTTCACAGCCTTAACAATTATCCACAGTCACCAAGTTACAAGCGTACCACATCTCTGCTCTCACTGCAGTGTGAGATGTCAAAGTAAAACAAAGGAATCCATGTAAAGAAATTGCTGTTACAAATAAAGGTACCTTTTTCTTCCGATCCTTGGATCTTTTCCTATGTTTTCTCTTTTTCTCATTTTCTTCTTCGGCGTTAAGTTCTAAATCTCTGTTTTTCTTGAGCTGTGATGCTGCGTGAGCCATAATGCATTAAGAACACCCTTTGCAACAATCCTTCCTGGTATATAAGGTGATATCCTCAGGCACCTTTAACCAGCCCTCCTCACAAGCAGTGCCTGGAAGAAAAGCTGTGGCTGGAGCCAGGAAGACATTCACAATTCAAAGGTCTTGATGAAGCTGGCAGATGCTAAACAAATTCATGCTTGCAACATCTCTTCCAGTACCTTTCTGTACCTGAAGCTCGGCAAAACAGTGCAGCCATCCTAATGCATTTAACGTAACGAGAAAGACAGCTGGGACAGAGAAAGCTGTATTATGGCTGCATCCCCCACCACCAGCTGGAAGTGTCTAAGTGATTCCACTGAAGGGGGTATGCTGGAA